CTTCCCCAATGGACATAGATCTCCATAACTGATGACAGCTGATTTACACATAGGAAAATGACACCGTGATGAACGAAGCCTCCAGAAAATGTGTTCCTTCAGCTTTGGCTTGGGTTGAATTTCCATGCTTCATGAACAGTTTTCCCAGAATTTAGTTGCTGGAAGGACATTTGTTCCAATGACCCTTCATTATGCAACTCAGGGCTTCTCCAATTTTATTTAGCATCCATTCTGTTTTGCATGCACAAAGCTTATGCAGAAGTTATGCCATGTCGTAAGTTAAGTCATAAGTTATGTGATGTCATAAATTATGCAGAAGTTAAGTGATCCCACAATTTTTAGTCCATTTCCCCATCACTTTCCTAACTGCAAAGTCCGTTCTTTTCTTTAAGTGCCAGAATGCTTTAATCAACGTTCATTGTGCAAACCTACATTTATCGTATGCACTTGAATCCATCCCACAAAATAATAACAGTCCAGAGGCGACCTCAACCTTTCTCCTACATGACCTAAGGTCTCTTTGAACCTCTCTCTTCCAGGTATGAAACATTCGTTATTATTAATGAAACATAATAGCCACTTTACACAAGCATTTCAAAGCAACCTACTAATCAAAAATCATGTAATCCAAACAATTTAAAACAAAGGACAATGCAAGGGAATTGAACCATAAAAGCAACACTTCCGTTCCATAGCATGGTTTCAAACAGCCCCCAAAGGAGAAAAGCAAAGTAAAGTAAATACCCCTAACTGCTGCAAGGAAGAAGAAGAAAATCAACAATCAGATGCCTGGGAGGAAAGAAGTATCTTTGCCTGGCAGAGAAAAGGTGTCACTGTCGGCTCCAGGCAAACCTTCATGGGGAAAACACTCCATAGAGGAAAAGACCCACTGGAATGTTGCCACCCTCTGGAGAACTGTCAGAGGAGGCACACAAAAAAGGTTTTCTGATGCAGGTCTGAGCAAGTACACTGTATAGTACGGTATTTGGGACCTAACAGCTAAGACTTTATTGGTTAAAGCCAACACCATGAATTGTGTCAAGCTGTCTGGGCTTTGGTACAGCCTTCCCTCCTGTTCCATTCAAACTGGGGAGGAGTGGGTTAAAGAGGCCTTTGATTGTGTCTTGGCTGGCACCAGTGGAGCCTGTGGGTGGAACGAATGTTGCTGGCCCTTTGGCCCATTCCAAACACAGCCCCTGTTTAAAATTAATTGCACACCAGGGCTATAAAACCTCTGGGAACAGAGATTGCCTTATTTTGCTTGCAGAGGGAAGGGATGGAGTACGCTATACTACTCAGTACATTTTGGCCTCTGTCCCATTTAGGGCCTTCTGCTCTAACATAATACATGTGTTCTCTAATAATAACAACTCTAAATTGCTAATTTGTAGGGGGTGGGTGGGGAACAATTAAAAAAAAAACCCTTTTCTAAGCCATAGCATGGAAAGCCATTCATTAAGGCATGAAGAATACATTTTGAAAAGCACCTCTATTACATTCTCCTTTGGAAATGCAAGGGACAGGGATTGTTTTGTTTCCATAATGGCTCTATGGGTCTGGGTGAACTTTTGCTTGTGAAGCAGAATAGAAAGGTTCTGGAGACAGAGCAGAGGGAATGATTGGCAGAGCTGTTTTGTTGCCATGGAGAAATCACTCCGAACGATTCATCAGACAATGGACCGCACTCTCTGGGTGTTAGCTTAGCCGCTTGTGCATGTCTGTGTGACACATGCCTCCATTCCTTGTTCCCCCAACTAAATAGGAACCCGTACATAACAGCAAGAATCTTTGCTGTCAAGATAGCAAAGGCGAATAAGAAACTCAACCATACGTTGCTGCCACCAATTCTCCCACCCCTGATCATGAAGGAATAGGATACTGCTGCTAACATTGCTGGAACATTTGCCTCTTCTGTAGTAAAGCAGAAACTGAGAAGTGATGCTTAGAATGGGATCAAAACCCCTAAACTGAATAGGACTATGCTAGTGCTGCCATATAATGAAGTGGCAAGGCCAATACAATGCTGTGGTCAGAACTAGGGCCCTATTCGGGGAGCATGTGAGTGGAATAAAGCAGGGAGGACGCATGGGGCCTTGCCTGCCAGCTCCCATGTCCCTTTGCATGGTGCTTACTCAAGCTAAGCACCACTCTAAGTGGTTAACAAAAGGCAATCCAAAATATGAAAAAAGCAAGCATTATAAACAAGGCATAAAAGTAATTGAAATATAAAATAAAATCAGTTGTTTTAAACCAATGGGTTGTGTTCAGTGCAGCACTAAGGAGATTGTTCCATCAGCTCAAGCATTTCCGCTTGCCCAATGGAACAATTCACCTGTTCCTCATTCAGTGCACTATGCTGGGATGTTCTCTTCACGCTCTGGAGCAGCTTTTGTGAGGACGTGTGGGGAGAAGTCGCATTGCACTAGGGCAGTAGTTCCCAACTGGTGGTCCACAGACTCCAGGGGGTCCACATAACCAACCCAGAGGGTTCGTAGCACCATTCACATAACAAAAGAAGAGAGGACCATGGCTCAGTTTTTGAAAAACAGGGGGCCCACATTACTCAGCTAATTGGGAGCCACTGCACTAGTGGGAATCCTTGCACTGGTTTCCACTAGCACAACAATTTAGCTGAATACAGCCCAAATATATTTGCTAAATAGGCAGGTTATAATTGTCTGCTAAAATTATCTGTCTGGGTAGGCTTGCTGAGACAACAAAAGTCTTTAGCAGGCACAAAAAACATGACAGCAAAGGCTCCTGCCTACTATTAATGTTGAGGGAGTTCCAAAGAGTAGATGCTGCCATACCAATGGATCGATTTCTTAGAAGTGCAGAACAGGCATTATGTGGCATTTTTGAAAGGGTCTGTTCTGCAGATCTACGTGGTCAGGTGGGCACAGAGGGAGTGACGCAATCTAGAGTGAGGCAACTAAACTGGCCCCAAGCTCTTCGAAGCTTCCCCACAAGCAGTAGGGCTGTGTGCTCAGCTGGATGTGTGAACAAAACCTCTTTCAGACTTCCCCCCTAACACACAAAGTTCTGGGGTTTCAGCTAGTGGGAACAGGGACATTGGGGGTACTGCCCACATGTGCAGCTCTGTTGCCTTCTCAACATATTTCTGGCAAATACCTGATAAGTCTTAGGACTGGAAAGGCGAGCTTCAGATCCTGGCTGTAACCACAAAGCTGACTGACTGACCTTAGGCCAGTTACTATCTCTTTCATACCCTGCAAATGTATACCCAGGAAAGCTGGGACATCCCATTTTTTCTCACGATAGGATTTTCGTGCTGCACTATCTCCCTGAAAAAGCACTTTTTTCAGGGCCACTGTCCCCCAAAAACTGGGGGGGGGGGGTTGGGGGGATTATGGCACAAAATTGTAAGAGATCACAGCGCCCAAAATGGCTGCCATCCTCTCACCAAAAAAAAAAAAAAAATGGGGAGATGGCGTCCTGGAAGATGACATCCTGGGTTTTGCCTCTGATATGTTGGAGAGCATGCTGTTCATGCAACTTACCTCACTAGGTTGTTCTCATGAACCACTCACTATTTTGAACTCTTTGGAAGAAAAGTGATATATTAATTATATGAAATGCAACAATTGAGGCCGATCCCCCCACTGCTCTAGTTAGCACAAGGGTAACATTCATTTAGCTCATCAACCTATGTGAATGTTACATCACAAAACCTTGTGTGTAATTTACAGGATGTACTGTGGCCTGGCTATTCCTCAAATGTCTCTTCACAAGAATGTCTTCTGAATATAGGGAGGCCAAATCTGCTGATCAAATCAGTTCTGCAAACTTAAGTTTATTAGCTGGAAGTACCTTCAAAAGGAAAGGAACCTGTCTTTCAATAAATTGAGGAGATGGCAACTGTTTTTACCTAAATATAAGGTTTGCACATCTGCAGGAGGCGAATGGTTCTTCTCCAGTGAATTAATACAACCCTCATGATGCAGGTGCACTAACTGTCTTGTACTTCCACGAGAGCATATTTGATATCCTTCTGAATTTGTCCACATGGGGACTCAAGGGCAGGACGAAATACGATTAAGTCAGCAAGCAGAATGCAGTAAATAATGAAAGGGCCTGAAACAGCCAAAGCTGTGTACATTAGTCAGTTGTATATATATAAGTATTGCTTTTGCCATGTTTCTTCTTAGTATTGCATTTGATACTAAACCAGATGGGGAACTTGAGTCAAGGAAGCTATCTGAAATGAACCGTCATGCTTCCCTGCTTGTTTTCATGCAGAAATAGCAGCCAAATGAATGTGACTATTATTGAACCCTGAGCAACTGCAGAGCTCGCCATATCATATTTTTGTTTCTCCTGAGCAAAGTAAAAAATAAACCCAGCTATAAGGAGTGAAGGGTGATGTGCTCTTTCTCAGAAGAAAGCTCCACGGAAATGGCTTCTAATTAATTACTTCTGAGTAAAGCTACTGTTTATTTTAACCATCCTTTGACTATTTTTGATACCTGCTGTTAACTGTTTTTTAATCTAGAATTTTAAAATGTTTTCTTTTAGTGTTGTAACTCACCTTGGGGTTAAGCATGGGTAATAAATAAAATAAATAAAAGCTAAATATTATAATGTATTTTTGCCAACATTTAAAAAAATATGTTGTAAGGAGACCTCAGTGTAACAAGCAGCTAACATCCTCATCCTCATATTTTAAGAAGTCGTTTCAAAAGACTAACAAATTCATCCTCTGGATATTATTTCAGCAGTCATTGCTTAGCTGGCTTCTCACATCAGCGTCCTTCTCTCAAGCTGGACACAAACCAGGCTGGTAGACTGAAGAATCTATATCGTGTTGAAGGGAAGCAGAGTCAGACAAAATGAGCTTCCTGTGCCTTAACGCAAACGATTGCCTTCTAAAGCAGTCATTTGTTACTGTAAACATCAGGGGAGTGGATGCAGCAGGGTCAGCACTTTGTCAACAAAGATCCACCTCCTTGGAAGCAGCAGTTTCAAATGACTTTGTGGAAAGTGGATCTAGGTCATAGCTAATAAGTTTGTGCCTATTGCTGCTTTCTTGTGTACAAGATGTGCCAGAATAGAGTGTGCAAGTTAAGGCCTAGTAATGTCCCATAGAACGGCTTTATTTTTAGAAACTTGCCCCTCATTTGTCTGAGCCAGTGCTGGATTTACGTACAGTGGTGCCCCGCAAGACGAATGCCTCGCAAGACGGAAAACTCGCTAGACGAAAGGGTTTTCCGTTTTTTGAGCTGCTTCGCAAGACGAATTTCCCTATGGGCTTGCATCGCAAGACGAAAACGTCTTGCAAGTTTGTTTCCTTTTTCTTAACACGTTAATACAGTTGCGACTTGACTTCGAGGAGCAACTCATAGAACGCAGTGTACATAGTAGCCTTTTTTGAGGTTTTTTAAGACTTTGGTGATTTTTGAAGCTTTTCCAAAACTTCTTTTGCAGCCATTTGGTAAGTTAAACTTTTAAAACTTTTTTGGGCGGTTTTGGATTTTGGGTTGGGGTGTTTGGAATTCAAGGACTTGGTGTTGGGGAGGGGTTTGCAAGAATCTGGAAGCTTGTGGTTTTTTTTCTGCATTTTTATGAGTTTCTGTGACCATTGGGCCCCTCTGCTGTTTTTTAAAAACATTCTGGATTTGAATTTCTGTGTGCTGGGTGGCTGGGGGAACAGTTGGGGAGGGGTTTGCAAGAATCTGGAAGCTTGTGTGTTTTTTTCTGCATTTTTATGATTTTCTGTGACCATTGGGCCACTCTGCTGTTTTTAAAAAACATTTCTGGGTTTGAATTTTGAAATGCTCTTTACAGTATGTGTGACTTTAAAGAGCACTTAATAAACTCTTGTTGTACCAAATTTGGCTCTGTTTGGACTTTTTTTGACCATAGGAACGCATTAATTGATTTTCAATGCATTCCTATGGGATTTCGTGCTTCGCAAGACGAAAAATTCGCTAGGCAAAAAAACTCACGGAACGAATTAATTTCGTCTTGCGAGGCACCACTGTATAAGCTAAACAAGCTATAGCTTAGGGCCCCACTCTCTTGAGGCCCCCCAAAAAAATTAAAGGGGGGAAAAACCTGGATGTACATTTCCAAAACATAAGATAAAAAACTAATGAAATAAAACCTACATGCAGCAACAGTGTTTTGTGTTGTGTAGGCTCCTATGATGTAAGTAATGCCACCTGCTAGCCTGCTCCCTAAAATATCACTGGTTTGCTCATTTCTATATACAGGGTGCCTACATTCTGCATGGACTGGTTGTATGGCAACATGTGCAAATGGCTTTAGATACCTGTTAGGTCCATAAATTACCATATAGCATATATTCAACTCAAAAAACAGTGACAATTTGTTGTTGACAAAGGACAGCTGGACATATAAAGGGCCCCATTACCTTCAGTAGCTTAGGGCCTCATCCAACCTAAATCTGGCCCTGGTCTGAGCTGCAGATAAGTTTTCTAGTAGTCTGATACATGAGGTTGAGCAAGACCAACTTTTAGTTTCAGACTTGTGCAAAGGAGTGGGGAGTATTTGCTCTGCCGCAAACTTGCTCTCAGCTTGGGTGATCCGTAGGGTGGCTTCTGTAGATGGTTGCTGTACCTGCAGTTCAGCATGTTGTTCTGTTTAACATACTTTTTCACTTTGTACTTTGTCTGTATGGAAAAATCCAATGAACCTCTATTAAAACACTTTGTGAATCCTATGATTTTTGTGTGTGTAGCTGTGATGTTTAGCTTTTTTGTTAGTTGTTTTGTTAATAGTGTAACATAGATGGTAATTGCTTTATTTCTGATCTGTGATTGTTTTCTGATGGTTTGTTAAGTCTTCTATATGATTTATGCTGTAATCGTGATGTTCCGTTATGTTAATTTAACCTTTCTTTTTGTAAGCCGCTTTGGGATTTATTTGAATAAAAAGCAGCATAGAAATAGAAAAGGGGAAAAAACCAAAACCCCAAAACATGCAATTCGTTGGCTAGTCTCACCCAAGACTAGCAACAAGTTTTGGACACATTTTTACTTTATGTGTTTTACACTACCTTACGACAAAGGAACCAAAACCATTTACAGTACTAAAGAAGGGGAGACACAGAAAAAATACTGTGCACACACAAAAAGAAAATTAAAACTGCAGTTAAGCATTCAGCATCACTATCATGCTAATTATAGAAATGGCTAAAATAAGGTGTGGAAACTCCCTAGGCAGTCTGAAAAGAAGGGGAAGAAATCCTGTGTGTGATATAAATAAATAAAACTGACACCCTCTTTAGTGGGGTTGCTGTTCATACCCAACCATATTCAAAATGGTAGCCACCAAGCTGTTCAGTTCTACCCTTTTTCATTAGTGAAATTCATGCTGCAAAGTAAAGGCTAGGTACAATTTTAGGCTGGTGGGTGTGGCAGAATCCAGGCCATTCATAGGCCTTACATAAAATAAGATTTGGCTTAGTGATCCTGTGATGGCAGCCAACCTGGTGAATTTTGAGCTAACAAAGCTGGTGAAGCCATGAAACAATACATTCATTATTTTGTACCTTTATTCATTGCATAAACTGGTCCTTCCAGAACCATTTTCCACAAGTACTGCTAAGAATATTGTTTACTTTGGAATTCCATGCCCTCAGTTTCATGCATCTATTGACTTCTACAGGTATAGGAAGCAGCTACAATTAAGAATTTGATAACTGTGATTAACGTAACACTGTGGGTGATAGCCAACTACGTTTTACTTAGAACATGACTAAATTAGGCCCATTAATTTCATTGAGTCTACTCTGAGTACAACTTAGATGAGTACCACCCTGTTCATCACAATTACAGAAATAGGATTGAATCCAAACTTTGTCATGCTTTGAGTGAAACCAATGGGACTTAGTCACAACTTACTCAAGTCATATGGATGAGACCTTTGGGTATAGGGTGGTATAGAAATTAAATAAATTTAAAGAAGTCTACTCAAGGTATGACAGGAAGCTTGGCTTCAACTCAGGAATTGACAGGATCAGTGTGGAAATTGCTGTTGTTGTACCCAATGATATTTTTCCTAACAGAAAATACCACCATTTGCCTATTTTTTCCATTTCTTTGTCAGCATATTTCCCATCTCTCTTCAGCCCATTAATTAGAAAGTTGCAGAAAAAGTTTGACTGTCTCAGGTTGTGCTAAACATGCTCACTTCCCCACAGTTAAAATTCATATACAAACTGTTCACCTGACCCTAAAAGACTGAATGTATGTGCAGCAGGCACAGCTGTGCTTGCCTGATAAATAACCAGTAGCAGTATCTGGTTGAAGAATCACATTTGCGACATCCAATTCTGCCAGATGAAAAGAAGCCTAAAACCAGCATCTTGAGGGAGAATGTGTGCTAATCATGGATAGAAGACCATTCCTAAAGAACCACTGGTGGTTTTTTTCTGCGTGCATGCACTGCACTGTCATCCTTGGCTGCGGTTGCAGCTTGTGCAAGAATTCAGACATCGCAGCTTAATCTAATATGTCTGAATTTTCTGTTACCATATTGCTGCAACAAATTAGGCTACATTGTATTGTAATTTTAGAGCCTTTATGAACAAAACATCCTGAAAAGAATATGTACAGTACAGTGGAACCTCTACTTACCACCATAATCCGTTCCTGCGGCCCATCCTTTAGGTGAAACGGGTGCTGGTAGAAGAGCCATTGTGCGCATGTGCAGATGGTGGCAGCCGCTTCTGTGCATGTGCAGACGATGGCAGCCACTTCTGCGCATGTGCAAACGGCAGATGCCACTTCTGCACGTGCGTGAATTGTGGCAAACCCAGTATTTACTTCCAGGTTTGCCGCAGTCGCGACTTGGATCGGGCCCAAGTAGAGGTGGTCATAAGTAGAGGTTCTACTGTACAACAAAGAGCATAGCTTAGTGGTAGAGTATTTGCTTTGCATACAAAATGTCCCAGGTTCAAACTATGGCATCTCTGGGTGGGGCTGGGAAGGATTCCTTGTCCAAAACTCTGGGGAGCCGCTGCCTCTTGTTGTGAAAAACAATGAGCTAGATCGACCAATGGTCTGACTTGGTGTAAGGTTTCTAAAGGAAATAATCTCTCTCTTTTTTCTCCTTTTCATTTGGTTTTCTAGGTTCCTATTTCCTTTTGGCGTATGTTGGTCTTTTGTCAGGGACTGGGCAGAGGAGGAATGGTGGAGACTGCCTCCCCAGCCTGACCCTTCCAGAAAAGAACAAAACAGTTCAGAATTACAACAGTGGTTTGAGGGAGGTCACAGCTCAGAGGCAGATGAGGGGGAAAGCTGGGAAATAAAGGGAGAGGAGGAGGAGGAGGAAGCACCAGGAGGGTGACAGCTGATGGACACAGTGTCTTTAGAAAGCATTGCAGACACACAGCCCTTCCAGAACCCGGCAAGCCTTGAAAGTAGTAGAGCAAAGGGCTCAGAAGCAAAGGGCCCTCAGCGCCAGCCGTAGAAGAGATGATGAATGAGGAAGTGGGAGAAAAAGGGGGTGGAGAGTCACTCAGGACAACGCCATTATCCCAATAGGTTGTGTTCCAAGCCTTTCTTTGTAAATATTGAATAAAGAGCAAATGGTAAGAACTTTTCCTTGTCTTGTATGTTTCTGGCAACCGGCCGTGGGAGTTTCTTACTGCCACCTGACACCTTTTTGCCTTTTTTCATAGTTGAGCTCAAGCTATGACACAATGTCTGCTGATTGTGCCCCATTCTCTCTTTCTCAGAGATTGACCATGTTGAACATGCCAAGCTCTTTCCTTGGAGCTTGAAGAGTAACAATAATCCCTCTCTTATTTTTCTTTGTTGTAAGATGTGCATAAAGCAGGGCTGCCAACTTGACTACACAAACACCATTTGAAGGACAATGGCCATCAACTCAAATATTTTACTGTAGGTGCCAAGGGACCTTGGTCCTTAGGAGCTGGCTCCTGTGACATAAAGCTTTAGCTATTGGATTTCATTTAGAATAACTGTTGACTTTTTAAAAAGCAAAAAGCCATTGTTAACATAAAAAGCAGTGTGGTGAAGTTTGTTTTGTGGTTAGGGCAGTGGGTTGTTGTAAGGTCAGGAATGCACACTGCAGGAAATTTCTTTCCCTCTTAAATTCTAGTCTCCAAGGAAAAGGTGAAAAATCCAGTAAAGTTTTCAGCAGATGAGGGAATAGGGGTCGCAGTCAATCTGGATTACTGGATTTCCAGATGGAAAAGTCATTAAATGTGTTTTGTTTTGGGGGTTTTTGAGCCAGGAATACCATGAAGCTTAAAAGGGGGAACCAAAATGGTCAAGTATTGGGAGTGAAAAAGAAAAAGCATTTTCAGCTCTCTTGCAGAATGCTGGAGAGGTGTGATTTATAAAATTATGAACCAGTACAGTGAAAATGAACAAAGGTATGTTTTTTCCCTCTCAAGTTAGTAGAATCACTTTATGAAATCAGTAGGTGTAGGACAGACAAAAGAAAGTAATTCTTCATACAATGTATAACCAAATGGTGGAATTTATTGCTTCAATATGCACTAATGATCACTGCATATTGCTGTCAATCTACTCCAAAACTCTGGAAGACGCCCTCCCCCAGCAGTTATATGTAGATGCATGGACATAGCCAGGACTTTTGTTAGGGGGGGCAGGCCTTTGGGGGGGCAGAACCTTAATTTGCTATGTATTTTTATTGATTTTTATTGATTGGGGGATAGCTTCCCGTTCCTGCCCATCCTGGCTACGTTCATGTGTAGATGTTAAACAAGGGATAAAATTGGATCTTGAGGAATCCAGCATTGAAGGCTTCACAGGCCCGAAAATCCCTCCTCAAACATCATCCTCTGAAATGACCATCCAAGAAGGACTGGAACTCACCCCACCTCGGACAACTGCTCCAGAAGGATACCATGGTCAATGGAACAGAAAGCCTCTGAGAGGCTGAGGAGAATTGGCAAGGACTCGTTTCCCCTCTCTATCTCCCAACAAAGGTTATCAAAGCAGTTTCTGTGTCATAACTGGACCTAAACCCTAACTGAAATTGATCTAGACACATTCACATTCATAGAGGAAGAGTCTGTCAATGCCTACTCATATAAATAGCTATATGGAACCTCCAGATTCAGAGGCAATTTGCCACTGAATCCATTGCAATGATAGGTACTGTCTTGAATGTGGCTCCTATTGGACAGTGTCTATAACATCCTTACTCCTCAGTACTTAAAGCAATCTCTGCCTGCAATGTTTACAGGTTTGTTTTAAAAAATTTGATTAATAATTTTTAGGGGCTGAATACTCCTTTGCTTTATCAGACTAAAATCTTAAATCTATTCAGAGATAAGCCCTATTGACCTACTGCCCTTAGGTAGGTATAGTGAAGAAATTCAGATTGGTTCTCATTTTAATGCAAACCTACCAAATTCACACTCCCCTCCATTTGTAAACAAATATTCTTTGAAATATGCATGTCTCCGAATTTTGTGATGGGGTTCTTCAACCAAAAAAATTAAATTATATTATGGGGAATTCCTTTGCAAAAACGTGTATATTAGGAGAAATAGACATTAAAATGGTGATGAATTTTCATGAGGACTTTGGAAAAAAAATTGCAAAAGAATGCAGAAATGTGGTGAATGAACCTACACTTGGAAAGATGAGAAAATTGACAGGTTCATCAATCCCTACTTCCAGATATGAATAACATACAGAATTATTGCCTTTCTCACAGTTAGGAGTAATGAACACAAGCAAGAAGATTCCTTTTCTGTGTTTGTGAACCTTTCGTTGCAAATATTTTTTTGAAAGTGTCTCACTTTTCAGTACTGAAATGCTTTAATTTTACTTAAAAGTTTCAGCAGCCAGGCTTCCATCCTTCCATTTTGGCTATTTTGAGAATATGGCTGGGAATCTGCAGAGAAGAGTTTGCAACCTCACACTTGCTTTGATATGAAATCGACTCCAAAAAATGTTTCATTGACGTTTTAGCACAGCATCTCACTCTTAAGACACATTTGTCATTCTCAAATGTGTCTTATTCCATTCTCTTGCGAATTTGTGAGAAATTGCTTCCTCTGCAGAAGTGGATTCCGCCCAACACAGAAACACCTTTCTTTGGGAGGTGTAGCAGAGATCTCCCCAGTAAATGCTTGCCAGGCTTGCCAAACCAGCTACACAGATTTCAGAAAAGAGCCCACCCAAGGTAAATAGGGATGTGGTCAAGAAACCTCTTTATGTGAACCTCCAAGGAACCAAGGGGGGCGTTAAAGTGGTATGTAGCTTGTAGACAAACTAGGTGTGATGTGGCTGATCTGTAAACAGATACTACACCTTAGAAGAAGGAAAAAACACACCAAAATTGCATAAAGGGGGGATTGGCTTGAGACCATGTTGCTAGAAGAAGAGGGTTAACTATTTCCATATGTGCCAGTTTCCTGATTGAAGTTGCTGCCCTTCCCCAATGTGGCTATTTACCCTGCAGGAGAAAACATAGAAATACCCTAAACAGAGCAAATAGCAGATTGTTTTAATTGGTAAAGCCATGCAGGCAGAAAAGTGTTACAGAATCCTTCCCCCATCACTGTGGGCCTGATTTGATGGACTTCGCAGATACTACTTTTTTCTTTTAACTAACCTCGGAATATCTGTGATCATTTGAGTCACATCTAGAGATCTGCGATTCCTAGTAGGATGTGAACATTTTGAATTTGGCCTTTAGGGCAAATAAGTATATAGATTATTATTTCTGTGTCTCAACACCAGTGGCTTCTTCCTTACCTCCCATCATGGCACTAGCCCATTTGGTCTATCTTCCTATCTACCCCATGTTCCACTCAAATCAGTGGACTCAACAAATTGACGAGACTGGTCAAGCTCCTAAGCAGTTTTGGGTCTGGTCTATTTTATTCCTAAGGAAAATGTGCATGTTTCTTCCTCCTTAAAGGTGGTCACTTTTCTTCAAATCATCCACTCGGTGAAACAAAATGTTCTAGGGCTAAATTTTAGTTGGCCACTCTCACAAATTCACTGCACCAGGAACTCACAGGGCTTGAGTTTCTGCAAGTTCTTTGATTCCCAGAGTTCTGCAAGAGGTCATAAAAAGGTCTGCATGTGAAATTCATGGGTTCTGAGTGCCGTATACAGATCAATTACTGTGGAGATCCATATATTTAGGTGTCATTCCTATGTTTCCACATAGAGGTAATATAAGAAATGGTTCCCTTGTACTCTGTTGCCAATCTGGTTGATTCCAAATGGCAGCTCATATCGTACTACTGGTTGGGCATCTGTGTTCCAAACTGGACATCCACACACTTTTTTTGGAAGGTGGTAATTAGGATCATAGTGTGGCTCTGCTGTGTAGGCATGTTCTGTGCATATTCTGTCTCTATTATCATAGGCTTGGGTGTTACTAGGCAGTGAAGAAACCATCACACATAGGGGACATGGGGATTGCACACACTACATATACCAAAGGAGTCTGTCAACATGTGTCTCGCTCACTCCACCTTTCATCCTGTCATGATATCGTTCCATTCTGGGTAACTTCCTATTCCCATTTGACAACATGGCAGAGAATGATGGCTAAAGAATCTCCATGTGTAAGATGCTATTTGTGTGGCAAGGATCACAATGTAAACTCAGGATAATTTGTATCAGGCTTTCCTCAAGGCAGAGCTTTCCAAACTTTTCACGTTAGTGACACACTTTTTACACATGCATCATTTCGCGACACAGTAATTCAGTTTTAAGAGCAAACCAGAGGTTAAAACTATCCCCTTTCCTGCCCCGGGAGGAGTGCAGGCAGCTTTTGTGCGACACAACTACACACTGCAGCTGACACACTAATGTGCTGTGACACACAGTTTGGAAAGCTCTGCCTCAAAGTGAACCACATGTTAAAGTTGCATCATTGTTTGTCCCGGTGAATTTACCTAATCGTACGTGTGAGGTGCTGATCCAGGATTAAACAACACCTACATCCTTCCACTGTATGTCTAGTTTCATGACACTGAGCTGCCTGTTTCTTTTCCTTCTGCCTGTATCTTAATGTACATACACACAACCTAATCCCAGGAACATTTACTCATAGATTATTGACTCCAATATACCATTTACTAGGATTAAGACAATCCATAATGGTTGTATCAGAGGATGCAGCAGCTAATTTACGGTAATCTGATCATAAAACTTTATTCTCATGAGCATTCTGAATGGGACTCTCTTAGCATCTTGTTTATGTTTCATTTGTTAAGTTTCATAAGCAAATTGCACCTAATGACTACCTCCACCCTACGATTGTCTTCCTTGTCATCATTTATATTGTTGCACACCACCCCAGTCTCCAAGAGGTGTGAAATTCCAGGGGTTCCAGACGCTCACCCAAGGCTCATGTTTCCTTTGGAATGAGGCATGGCATAGACCATGGTGTCTTCAGGATATATGGTTTATTGACACAGATATACAACCTGAGCCTACAATGGAGGGGTTCACAGCATTAACACCCCCAAAGGGTCCTGTTTCTCCTGTAGCCTCAGCTTGGATTCAAACAGAAATCAAACATTATGGTCTCTGGATTTCAGCCTGCAGCTTTTCTTCTAGGCCAAATTACATACAATTTCAACTCTAAAACTCTGGCTTGGTCCTCCTAACTATGTAAAAGCTGGAGGAGGGTCCCCATCCATTTGCTGTCTGACACAGAGTACTCTCCCCTGTTTCCCTTAATGTCCCATCCCCCATCCCCCAGCAATCACCTCAGGAGCACTTTTTTTTTTTAGCTTTTAAGTCCTTGGGCAATAACAATGCAACACACTCCCACACAATGGTGAATTCTGAGCTGCTAAGAACATAAGAAGAACCCTACTTGATCTGGCCAGGTGACACTTGCATTGCAATCCCCTTTGCATGTCTGTTCAGAATTAAGTCCCATGGAGTTTAAAAGGATTCACTCCCACCTTTCCTCAGCACAGCTCTGGCTGACAGCCATAAAATGAAAACAACTAAGGGATGACAAATAGGAACAAAGCATTCAATAGGGCTACAGCCCTAGGGAGTTCCAATATCCGGTTCGTAACAGCAGCCAACCAGATGTTTCTGAGAAGCCCAACAGCTGGTAGTCAGAGGCTAATCCCGTGTAATCCTAAAGTGTGTGTCTGTAGGTGCTATGCCTGTCAGGTTAGAAGATGTGGACAGAACCCCTTTGTTACCCTGCCCATGTTTATCCATTCTTTAAATTCCCCCTCCCACTGATCATCACCATTATGAACCTGCAGAGTTCAACCCCATCCAAAAGAGGACAAATGCCATCTCCAAATACCACCCCTCCTTGAGTTTTGATTTAAATGCTTATTATCACACTGATCATCCAATCCCTTATTGCCTCCAAGCATCTGTTCAGATCAATCAGAGCCACACCTGGATTAGGTTTTAAAAAAATCAGGCTTGTATCGCACCCCAGTCCTCAAATGACTTCATTTCACGCAATTGATGACACCTCAAGTCAAATCCTCAGATGACCTTAATTCATGCAACAGCTAAAGAGAAGGTGTGAAATAGCGCAGGGACAAAATGCCACGGGCCAGAAAAGAGTCCCACAGCATCGCCTTCTGGAATTGTCCCCCTAGCTAGTGTAAAATGCTGTGACTAGACTGGTGATGGGCTCAACTACAGTGGTACCTCAGGTTAAGAACTTAATTTGTTCCACAGGTCAGTTCTAAACCTGAAACGGTTCTTAATCTGAGACACACTTTCGCTAATGGGGCCTCCTGCTGCCGCTGGCGCGTGATTTCCGTTCGCATCCTGGGGCAAAGTTCTTAACCTGGAGCAACCACTTCCTGGTTAGTGGAGTTTGTAACCTGAAGCGTGTGTAACCCGAAGTGTGTGTAACCCAAGGAACCACTGTGCTGCCAACATAAGACACTTGCTTTTTCTTCCACAGGAAGAAGGGCTGGGATAAGCAGTTCAAAGGCGATTGTAGCATCCTGCGTGAAAATGGCCCATCATGGTATCCAACCCAGAAATTAGCAGTCCAGGTGACCAACTCACATGGTTTTTGTGAGGGTACATATAATAATAATAATAATAATAATAATAATAATAATAGAATTGTAGAGATGGAAGGAATCACAAGGGTCATCTAGTCCAACTCCCTGCAATGCATAAATCTTTTGTCCAACATGGGGCTTGAACTCACAACCCTGAGATTTAGGGTCTCGTGCTCTACTGACTGAGCTATCTGAGCAGATGTAAGTGGATAAGCACTTGGTAAATGAAAATCGACCCAAACAATAGTGGAAGCTAGCAAATTTTATTCGTTTGCTACACTGTTCTTAAAACAAAGTGATGGAGGTGGGCCACTGATCCAGCATTTCTTTAAAGTTACATATTGTGTATATTTATTTATTAAAATAATGTATATATACAACTTTTCAGGAAATTGAAAAGTTTGACATTAGAGATGGTGCGAGCTAATCCTTCATCAGGTGATTTAATAATTACAAATACACTCGGAGCAAAGATTTAGTTGCCCCTTCACCCACCCTTACAGAGGTTATATGCCAAATTCTTCTAAAATATAACCCAGATCTATTACCTGCAAGCACTTCAATAGGTGGCCAATCGAGGACCCATTGTAAAATTCCCTGGCTGATTTATGGCTGTCTGAGGCCCAGGACAATAAATCAGGACATATATCAGAAGGAGACAACTAAAGTGGGGGGGGAGGCATGCTGTTTGTCAACAGAAGTGATGCATGATATAACATGGGAAGGGAGTTGTTTTGCTTTGATATTGCTTCCTCCCGCCACCCACTGGTCCAAAGCATTCAAAGAAAACTTCATAACTTGCCTAGACAACTCGATGTGGACTTGATAGCAACATGCAGCCAACATGCAGTGAGTTTCTTAATCATGCCTCTTTTCTGACAGGCAGCAGGAAGATAAGGACAGAGACTGCAAGACCACATTGGCCGTTATCTGATGCAAATGAGGCAGCCAGGAAGGCCATCAAAGCAATGGATGAAAGATTTACGTCTTTTACTGGCCATCTGCAAAGCAAAACAAAACAAAAATAGCTGAAACACCAGTTTTCTGCTTTATCGGCTCTGTGAATAACCATATAAATTTCTACGATATTTCTTTAGGCTTGCTGAAGGGGAAAAATTCATCCCTCAGGACTGAGCCAGCAGCCGTAGCAGCATATGGTCTGTTGGAATCAGTCGCTGCGTGGATTTTGTGTGTGTTTGCTCTTTGAGCGGGGTGTGCAGAGGGAGAGAGAGAGAGGGAGAGAGAGAGGTGACTTTGTGAGTAATTTGGGAAACAAGAGGACTTTATAAAAGATGAAGTTTGCTGAGTTAGCTGTTGGACATCCAATAACTCCTAGATAGGAAAGTTGAACTCCATTTCATGATTGTGAAGTGTGAAGGATGCCAAATTCATTGGCAATCTCCCTCAGGCTGGCCTGCTTGGCCTTGGAGACCAGAGGTCTTCGAGCTAACAGCTTTTTTCCAGAAGGAAAAATGGAAAGTATGAACTCTGTCATACAAACTTACAAGTTGTACTGCATATGGGAGGCCCTCTTCTGGGTTCCATCTCCAAAGAAGGTTTGGATATGGGAAAGAGCCTCTTTCATTGTGGCCTCCCCTGTCTGTACAACACTCTCCCCAATGAAGCCTGGCTAGTGCCACATTAAAACTTTTTTTTTCTGCTTACAGGGGCTGGTTTTGACCTGTGAAGCCTTAAATGGCTAAGAACTACAATGCCTCAAGCACCACCTCTCTCCAGATGAACCTACCCAGATCCTCCACGAGTGGTCCGGAGGGTGGCAACACGAGACCGGCCCTTTTCAGCAGTGGCTCCCTGATTGTGGAATGCTATCCCCAGGGAGGTTCAAAAGTCTTATACACTTTTAAGTGCCAGGTGAAAATGTTCCTCTTCATCCAGGCATTTGGCCGATTAACATCTGATACCCTTTTAAATGTGTTGTGGGTAGGGGAATTATTGATTTGTTTTTGTTCTTGTTTTGATTACATATTATGTGTTTTTTATCTTGTATTTTTATGTTGTGAACTGCCTGAGATCTACTAATGAATGGTGGTATACAAATTAAATAAATAATGATAATGATAACTGGTGCCACGTGATAGGCTGTTTTCATTAATTTTTAGGGTGGGAGATTGTTTTTTCAACTGGTTCTGATTTTGTTCAGTTTTATAGGATGCATGCTTTTAGTATTATGTGGATTCATTGTTTGAGTCATTGCTTTAATTGTTTGGTTTTAAAATCATATATATATATATATATATATATATATATATATATAATCTGTAAATCACTTTGGATTTTTTTAATTTTTTATTTAGAAAGATGACTAAGAGAATTAATGAATGAATTAATACCACCTGGGAACATATTATAGCGTCTGGAGAAGCTCAAGAAAAACAAAGTCAATGTGTTTCCTTTTTCTTTCAGCCATGCTCACCCAGAGGTGGTGGAATGGCCTCGTAAATTCCTAGGAAGCCCACCACAGCCTCTGTAAAAGTGGGAGAATTCAAAGAGGAGCTATAGGCTGAAAGAAGCGCATTTCTTCCACCTCCACTTTCAGCACTAATTAAAGCCTTATGTTTGTTTTGGAAAAGATATAAGAGGCAACAATTTGCTGTGTGGGTAACATCCTTATTTAGTTTAGTCACTAGGTGACACTGGACTTGTATCTTGTGGACTCCAGAGTTTCAAGGAATATATGGATTTTATAAGAAAATAAAAAAACAAACAAGCAATAGTGTTATGAGTTTGGAGCGGCATAGACTGTATGCCTGAGCTGCCTTCTAATTCCTGGATCCAGCGCAGATTCAATTCCTAAAATAGCCAGACCAGTTTCCTGGTAAGAGAAAGACTCTCTAATCAGGGGTGGCCAACTCCCAAGAGACTGTGATCTACTTACAAAGTTAAAGACTGGCAGTGACCTACCCCCTTTTGGGGCGTTCAGGTCAAAGTTGTTGAGCTTTTTTTAGGGGTGCAGGGCAAAAATGTTGAGATTTTTTAGGGGTGCAGGGCAAAAATGTTGAGATTTTTTTTTAGGGGAGCCAAGCTTGTTGAGCTTCTTTGTGGGGAGCCAGTGATCTACCAATAGATCACAATCTACCTGTTGGACATGCCTGGTATAGGTCATTAAAGTAACAAAGAAAGTGGCTCTATGCCAGACACCAAATGTGTGCCATCCCTCAACTCATTGGTAGTCAGAAAGCCAGAATGGAGAGTTGAGTTAAGTGAGCTAGAAGCTAGAAGCTGGCAGGCCGCAGGCTGGGCAGCTAAGAGGCAGAGCCATGCCTGATTTCTGTTGGAATCCAAGGCTGTGACTATGGGAGATGCAAGACCCTCTTGGAATGTTAATGCTGTGAACATCATAGACTCAGGTTGTATATATGTGTAAATAAACTATATATCATAAAGACACTACAGTCTCCGCTGTCCATCATTCCAAAAAAACTGAACCCTGGGCCTGGAACCCCTAGAATCTCGCACCACTCAGTTATTGGGGAGGCGTGCAACAAGATAGGATACCTCTGGAATTTGACTTCTCTGGCACTGCATCAAAACCCTTTTGCAACAGAAGGCATCACTAACTGTATCATTATTCAAGGATTAAATATGTTGTGAAATGTTTTCATTTCATCTTCCTTTGGTTGTTTGTGCTTAATGAAAACGATGGTGTTCATTCATAGCTGAACTTTTGACTGCCGTCATTTCCTTCCTCTGCCCCTGTGACAGGTGCCTTATAGGATTCTCTCCCACAGGAGGTGGGGATGGCCACCAACCTAGGTGGCTTTAAAAGAGGATTAAACAAATTCATGGAGGAAAAGGTTGTCAATGGCTACTAGCTATAATGGCTATGGTTGGCCTCTACAGTTGGAGGCAGTAATGCTTCTGAATACAAGTTGCTGGAAGCCACAGCTGGGGAAAGTGCCTTTGTGCTTGAATCCTGCTTGTGGGTTTCCCACAGGCATCTGGTTGACCACTGTGAGAACAGGATGCTGGCCTCATCCAGAAGGCTGTTCTTACACTCTTCCCCCCCCCCCAACTATCAACTCTTTATTGATTAAAAGTTTTGCATATCTGTCAGAGGCTTAGTGCTGTCCAGCTGGCCATAGATAAGACTCCGGGCTCCCAGCCAGTTCCAAACAATTGATTGTGTCCAGAGGAGGGCAACCAAAATGGTCAAAGGCCTGGAAACGATGCCTTATGAGGAACGTCTAAGAGAGCTGGGCATGTTTAGCCTGGAGAAGAGGAGGTTAAGGGGTGATATGATAGCCATGTTCAAATATATAAAAGGATGTCACATAGAGGAGGGAGAAAGGTTGTTTTCTGCTGCTCCAGAGAAGCGGACACGGAGCAATGGATCCAAACTACAAGAAAGAAGATTCCACCTAAACATTAGGAAGAACTTCCTGACAGTAAGAGCTGTTCGACAGTGGAATTTGCTGCCAAGGAGTGTGGTGGAGTCTCCTTCTTTGGAGGTCTTTAAGCAGAGGCTTGACAACCATATGTCAGGAGTGCTCTGATGGTGTTTCCTGCTTGGCAGGGGGTTGGACTCGATGGCCCTTGTGGTCTCTTCCAACTCTATGATTCTATGATTCTATGATTTATTTGACAAAGTTCAAACGTACATCTCCAGCGTTTCCATTAGCCTCCTTCCCCTTGTGCGCAGTTGCTCCCTCTAATCTTATTTCCTCCTTTTCCGCACCCAGCATGCAATTCTGCGAAAACCCCTCCCCTTACTTCCTCTGTGTACAGCCTGACTTGTCCCAGGCTCATCCTCCTCTCCCTCTACGTCAGACTGACTGTCAGACGACAAGCTGCTGATAATCTCTTTAGGCTCTCTATAACTGCTGGTTTCTGTCCTTTCATCTTTTCCCGTTTGCCCCTTCCTGACAATATCTATACAAATATTATGTAATATCTCTTAATAGGTAAAAAAAAGAGAGAGAAATTATATAAAATAGAAAATTTATAAAGAAAAAAAAAAGAAATAAAGAAGTAACAAAGATAAGAAACAAAGAAATCATTTTTTTTTAAAAGGAGACAAAGTTATTTACCTAGTAAAAGCACTCATCAGCACAATCCTTCCCATCCTTCTCATTATACTGTTTGATATAACATTCTTTTTTATACAGGTTTACATTGTATAATATCATTTCTTTCCGCTTTGTATACATTCCTTTGTTCTTTTTCTTGACAAATATCACTCAATTTCTGCTAATATGGAGTTATTTGTACAATAAAGTTTTTTTCCCACAGGCATCTGTTGACCACTGTGAGAACAGGATGCTGGCCTGATCCAGAAGGCTGTTCTTACACTCTTATGAGTGTGCAACCCTGTCAAAAAAGAAAGAAAGACAATGTTCACAAGTCAAAAGAGCTGCAATTCTGGGACTTCAAGCAAATGAATAGTGCTGGCACCCAGGAACTGTGGCAGGTTGAGGGTGGGGAAGCGCCTTCAGTGAGTTTCCTTAATCTACAAGAGATTAACCATTTATTATTTTTCTTACATGACCTTCACTAGACATCTTTTGGTAAAAGCAGCAACAAGATAATGCAAAGATTCCTGTCCTTTCTTTCTTTCTTTCTTTCTTTCTTTCTTTCTTTCTTTCTTTCATAGAGGAGGTGGACGAGGGGTGTGTGAACAATTTGGGAGGAGGGGATTGACAGAAAGACATTCCTGTGCAGAGATGGAACTGCAAGCACCTCCTGGACTATTCATGACAATAAACTAGCCTGAGATGATCACGCTTGGCAGCCATCAGTCCCTGGGCTTCCTAACTTTCCACAAGCCATAAAACGGACAAAAGAAAAGTCACACTCCCCTGTTAAGTCAACATGGCATCTCAAGAGAGGTCCTTTGGGGAGGGCATCAGGCGTCTTTATGCTATGTGGCTCACCCTTCCGTATAAAACAGACATTCTGTTTTCTTTGAGGGTTTCCTAGCAGCCTGCTTCCCGAGTTGTGAGAAAACATGAATCATCGGGTCTCCAAACAAAATTGCTTCTGGAGTCCAGAAGCATCTGGGTTGCTTTGAAATATCTCAGTGGAATAACTATAGGGCTTTGTTTGTTTTTTTCCTTTTGCAGTGGTGTTTCCTCAGCTGTAGACTGTCCTCCCCAAAAACGTTTGCCCATTATCCTTTAGGCACTGGGCCAAAACATATTTATTCACCTAGGCATTTTCATAGGCCAAAGAGTTTATTAGCCTGTTCTAAGATTTTATCTGTTGCTTTCATTTTTCTGAGTTGGTGTTATGTTTTTCCATTGGGCTGTTATCTAGCAGATCAGCACCACACAATCTTATCCCTGTGCACCATGCAATTACACCCACAGGGAGGGGGTATCTTACTGCGGCTTCCTGTGTCCATGTGCCAATCAGCCAGCCAGAGTGTGCACAGATCACATAAGGACAAGTTGCCTCCTTTGCTTGGCATGCAGCACAACACTCCCTTTCCAGGGGGGTCTGAACGTGGCAAATGCAAACCATTTCAGATAACACTTCAGCAGCACTGTGACTTTAATATTTGCTGCTAAACCAAGGTCGGGGGAGGGGGGAATCCTTGTGCCAGCCAGGCCTTCCGAGAAAATCAAGCCCATGAACAGACTAGGATCAACTCCTTCTCCTTCAGTGCCTCAGAACAACACCCTCCCCCAAGGGTGTGATATTGCTGCAAACTGACAGTGCAAAGAGCTCGGATCTGTGGGTGCCGCTTGTTCATCCAACTGCTTGAATTAACTCTGATTTCCCTCTTTTTCATCCCCCTCTCCGTGGAAAAAAATAAAAATAAAAAAGATGGCAGCTTCTCTGAGGAGCTGTCTCCTCTCTCTCCTGACAGGCTGACAGTATGATGCTGGCGGTAATATTTGCGTCTGCCAGGGGAATGCCTGGTTCACTGCCGCCGACTTGCACATTTTAAA